CAGCACTACAACCTGCTGACATACCAGCTGATCCTCAACCGTTCAGAAGAATAATGCATGCTTAAGAAAAGATAGAATCCTGTATTTGTCGAAACGGAGGACTTTCTGGACACTTATTCTAACTGATTCTTAATGTTCTAAGTCAAATTTATCTCAATTTTCTAGTTATGATTCGTTGTTCCATCATCAACTTTGGCACATGAAAGATGTTACTGTTTTTGAATTTGAATAAATGAAATTGATTCAAATAATCTTATTTTATACCAGCATAAGCTATTACAAATTTTTTCAAATCCCAAAAACTGTACACAGTATTGAGTTGAGGAGTACCTTTTTGGTGTTGATGTGAATGATGTTCAATAAGTTCTCATGACATTTGGACTAAAAAGTCTTACCTCAGAAATGTTATGTTTAAAATTACTTGGTAGGAATTGTGTAACTATAGTGGACTCTATGAGTCAGATTGGAAAACAAATTCATGCCATGTGTCAACTTCCAGAACATACCCATACAAAATTGCATTACAATGTTGCCATTAGTTGACAAAATCGTAAAAAATGTGTAGAATAATATTTTTTCCAGCACCTTGAATCTTGAAAACGGATACCCTCACATTTTTTTATTGAACAAACTCTTATTTTGCAATATTCTACCTACCCCAGCAAGGGGACACCTTTTTTTAAACACCCTGTATAAACAAATCCATCAAGAAACTTCGTATAACCATGCTGGAAAAAGTAGAATAAAACTGTTTATCCAAGACTGGAACAAAAACTCGAAAATATCTAAAAGCTGAATCATTTTGGATCATTCAGTACAAAATAGTGTCACGAAAGGATATTTTCCATATTATTCTCAAATATTACTACTACTATTATTATTATTTCACTGTTCTAATTTATCGAGTTTGTTATATTTCTCAGCAATTCAACTGTTCTCATTCGTGACAAAACATTTTTCAATAAAATAAACATTTGAGGTGATCGATCATAACCCACGTACCAAGAGGAACTTGACTTTCGGTTCGAAGAGCGGACGGTTGCTTGTGGCAATTGGGACATCCCCATATCCCCAAGTTTTTATGTTAGATTATTTGTAAGTACCATTTTTATTATTAATTAAATCTTCAACCAAATGCCTCTTCAAGGATTGTCATAATTGTGATTCATCATTAATAAATCCGTATTTGTTTATTTGTTCAAACTTAAGCCCTTTTTATTGAGTATCAACCCTCAGCAAATCCCAACTAGCAAAGGCAATAAGTCACACTCGTGACATATGGTGGAGGCGCCGTGTTTCGTTCCCGAGGTTCTTCATAACCAGCTTCAACATTTGTTTTTATTCTTTGTCTTGAGTTTTATTTTCAATAAATGATGTATATATATTTTGAGAAGGGTCAAAATGGGATTCTCGTATAAGGCACTGGCCAGTAAAAGCTCACATTTTGGCATGCCAAAACCGAAATGCTTCTGCATGAGAGTTTCCCCATGTAAGGCCTCTTCTGGTAGTGCGTTACAGATCGGCATGCTAAAACCGTCTGTACTCATACGGGAGAAAATTTTGAATTCAGGGGTTGTTTTTCAAAATACGAATTCAATGTATTCTGAAAGGGGAAATATTTGGATTCTTGTGTGAGACACTGGCCAAAATTAGCTCACAGTTCAGCATGCTAAAACTGAACTGCTTCTACATAGGAATTTTTCCATGTAAGGCATTTTTTGGTAGTGCGTTACAGTTCGGCATGCTAAAAACGTCTGTACTCATACAAGAGTAAATTTGGTTTCTGGGGGTAATAAGACGTTTTTCTTAGAATTATTTATAGAGTATGAAAGTACCTCATTCTGACTTGTTAAATATTTTAAGAAATAATCATGAATCCATTGTTTGAAAAATGAATACGAGTAGTTGCAGTTGGGATTTCTGCTGACGGAGTATTTTTCGAAACAAGGAATATCGAGTTTGATGAAAAGCCGGCATTACGATTAGGGATCGCGGGTAGTGCGATCACGCGTTTCATTCTTGAAGTAAGTTTAGTTTTTCGACACACCGCGCCCCTCGAGTTCCACCCCCATGGAGAAGCACGCTCTTTGGTGAGTACATGATTTCTATGTTATATTTATGTTTCATTTTTATATAACCTCATATACTATGTGTTCTGGTTATTTTGTCTCGTTGACGCTCAACATCTTTTGTTTTTTTTTATTTTACACTCATTTTTGTAGTCTCTCAATTTACACCCCAATGTGAGCTTATGATTGAATAAAAATTCATGAATTTGTTAAGTTGAATCTAGCCCCATTATTCTGCTGCCAAGCGAGTAACCCCTCTCTGGTCATAGGTTTGAATGTCTCGGGAAGGATTATGGGTACTTACAATTCTACCCCTAGAGATTTGAACGTGACATAAGTATACACATTATTAGTCAGCAGATGATTTTTACCAAGATGATTTCAGCTGAATTAGCTATTAACACACCATGGTAGTAAAGAATATCATTATCATTATCAGGAATCAGGAATAACAATATTCTTTACTACCAAGTTGACTATTACATTTTTTTCATTAGTAACAATATATTCATGGGGTCCAGTGCTAATAATATTTTTTACTACCAAGATGTATATTAATTTTTTTTCAACACTTGCAATATATTTCAGTGCTAATAATAATATTCTTTACTACCAAGATATACAGGGTGTTTCAGTTTTTTGTAGCAGGACTTTAACAGCTTGAAGAAGACATTTTTTTAAGATGAAAATCTCATACAAACATATATGCGTGGAAGCTTCGTTTCCGATTTACCGGGTGTCAAAGTTTCTAATTTTTTTTATGTTTTTCGACTTTTCTCCTACAATCTTCGGAATAATTGATTGAAATTTGTTACACCTAATACACTTCTAAAACTTAATATTTAAGCCTATTGAGCGTTTTACCTACATACATACCTACAGGGTGATAGACTTTCAGGGGTCGTACCCAATTTAACCCTGTAGAATTTTTATGCGTGCAATCTCTGCTTTCAATGGGACATAGATTCAGATTGTCCTTTCAATTTGGAAACTTTTTGCCCATATGTAAATTTTTTGAATACTGTATGGATCTCGAGATGAATACCAAACATAAATTACTTGTAATAAAACCATTATTTCCCAAACACACTTATTCGACATTTCTCAAACATTTTATTGAGGAATAGAATGACGGAAAGCTTCCATACCAAATGAAATTCAGTTGCAAAATTAGATTGAATTTTTTGAACACCATTATAATTGAAACTAGGAAAAACAAAGAAAAAATGTTTTTATTTTGAAAAAACTGAAATTGTATTGTAGAACATCTAGGATACACGGTCTAGGCGCTATACATCGCTAGACTGTCGCTTCTGACGGTTGAGGTGTTGTGTTTCAATAATTCAATCTCTTGAACGGCAGTTCTAATTTTATCAGTACCCTCAGAAGTGGTTCGGATTCCACTTTTTCGAAAAACATACATGGGGACAAAAAGTTTCCAAATTGCAGAGACAATCTGAATCTATGTCCCATTGAAAGCAGAGGCGGCTCGCAAAAAAGTTCTACAGGGTTAAATTGGATACGACCCCTGAAAGTCTATCACCCTGTAGGTATTCAAAAACGCTCAATAGCCTCAAATATTGAGTTTTTGAAGTGTATTAGGTGTACCGAATCTCAATCAATTATTCCGAAAATTGTAGGAGAAAATTCAAAAAACATAAAAAAAATCTGAAACTTTGACACCCTGTAAATCGGAAACGAAGCTCCCACGCATATATGTTTGTTTGAGATTTTCATCTTGAAAAAATGTCTTCTTCAAGCTGTTAAAGTCCTGCTACAAAAAACTGAAACACCCTGTATATTGAATTTTTTTCACCACTAGCAATAATTATATTTCAATCAGTTATAGTTCTGCCAAACTGAAAATACTGAAATATGGACCTATGTCTATAAGGTGCGTTTTATTGGCAAGATTCTTCCACCGGAATGACAATTTATGTCGTTTTATTGGACGAAATTCTGAAACTGGTTCCAACTTTTCATTCCGCCTTCTCATACGGAATGACAGGAAGACGATTAAGGAGGGAGTGTACGAAATGGCGGAAATGGCGGTATTTCAGATACTCTAACCTCGAAATCTGAACTAAAAATTGCCTAAAAGTGAACTCGCCTCAGGAAATATTTTGGAATTGTTGGCAATTCTACCCAGAATACTATCAAACACGTATGGACTCCTGAAATGAGTTTTGAATGTTGATAAATCTATTTGCGGTAGGTATATTACTTCTTCATAATAATTTTGAATTTTTGGTATAATAATGCTAGAAAATCTGAAGTCGAGTATTCCTGTAGATAACATCAGAAGACTAATACAAGTATAAAACCCTTTCTAGTATTAAGAAATCAGTTTCATTGATAAATATCAATGTATTTTGCCTTCTAATCAATGCAACTATACTAAGGAGGATAAAAAGAAAGCGGGAACAACATCCATTATTGGACCATTATAAATTAAAATTATAATTATGTACGGATGAACAGCAAGATCCCGGAATTATATCATTATTCTATCACCTAAAAAAGATCAGCTGCATGTCACAACTGTCAAAATACATCACATCGTTTTATTGGTCGTCAATTTTACTGCCACCAGTTGGAAACCAAAAAAACGCACCTACTGAGTCACTATGCAAACACTTCTTTTCAATCCTAGTAGCCATGGCAGCATTTATGACAGTTTGGGTATGCTGTGACAAGTCATTATAGAAGAATAGGTCTACCTATCAGATAGGAGTGCCATTCCTGTGAATCTCGCATCAGAACAGGGAATTTGAGCTGGCTATGTCTTTATTGACTAGTAGTTCATGAAATAATGAAAATTACCTTGATGCTTGGTAAAAACACACTTTACCCCTTGAAAAGGAGTGAATAATGGTAGGTAGTATAGCCAGTGGTGAAAAAAAGATGAAAAATATGTTCATATCTACTTACCTGGAACTAGGTGTGATGTACCAGAGAAATGGGGTAGCTCTTTTTCTAATTTGGTAGTGAAGTTCTGAAAATATAATATGATCAAGCATTCAGAAAAATTTTATTTTTGCAATGGACAATACAAAACCCGATTATTCTGAATTGGGACAGGACTTTTACAAGGAAAATTGAAAAATAATATTTGTTAAAATATTTTATAAAGAAGTTAGAAATATCATCTGCTTCCAGCCTGAATAACTTAAAGGAGCAATAGACTAAATAAACAATATAAACTTGAAATGAAACCTGTTGCAGTACCTGTGTTGGTTGACAAATTTGAATAAACATAACCATATAAATATAAATAAAACCCCCGATCTGAAACTGGCTGCTCAAGCTGGCTACAAAATTTTCCGAGGGTACCCGAACTACCAGTGGCGGCGAATTATTCATGATTCATTTTCCTTCCAGTTCCAGATCGCACGAATTCGATACTACCCGAAATGAAGCACCGTGTTGAGGATTATTCATCCTGTGTGATCTTTTTTGTATATGATGCCGCAAGAAACATAATGGACAATGAAGTATTGGGTTAGATTTGTACGTTTACATTTGGGATAAAAACTGATATGAAGACCGTTTCTTTATATTTCTGGTATTGAGAGTTCTTTTTTGTAGGGGAATAGTGAAATCATATTAAGGTGGATATTTTGAAACCCCAAAGAAATTAATGTTTCTCCAAAACTCGTACTTTTGCCACCCTTATCAGATTCTGAAGTGTTTGACCTAGTGTTTGACATCACTATTTCGGTAGCAAAGGTCAGTTCGTCGCTTCACAACAATTTCTGAAAAATTATCATCCAGACCAGGGATATATCCTCGTCTGACAGCGTTCTCAACATATCCTTCAAGAAGGATTTCAACATCTATAGAAATAATTATCAGGTTTGAATTCATAAGGACAAAATGTAATGATATTTAAATCTTCTGATACTGAGAAAGACACTGCAGTCCCTTTTACTTCAATATAAAACAAATTTTCCATTTTCTTTCCAGAATAAAAAATCAAAACAAAAATCGAGACAAAAATATTCAGTTTAAGGATTATGCTATCATGGCATATCAACAAATAAAAATATCAAATATCAGCTTTTTTTATAAAATTTTTGTTGCGTTAACACACTTAAGTGGTTATTATAATTTTGTTTTGATATTTCTTTTATATATTTTGAACGTATGATCCGCGATCAAAGACACTAAACGGCGCACGCCTCAGTAATGTGGCCAATCGGAGGATTTTTCCGAACCGAAGTACCCGAGTACAGAGCAGAAATACGAGTACGCTAGGTACTACCGCAATAACTCTTTCCTGGTGCGAACACGAGATTTTTCTATATACAAAAGTGTCGGAATTAATCGCGGACCTTTTCTTCTGTGCTATTTTCCTGTGTTCTGGAGGATTGGTGAGGTGCTAGACCTCATAATCGATTACGAAGATCATCAGAAAGGGCCCTTTCACCGGCAGTCAAGAACACCAGTCTATGGCGTCCACTGGAGGTGAGTCCGTTTAGTGCCCTCGCTTTATTTCGGAGTTATAGTCAATTTTATACAGTCCATTAATCAAACCACTTAAGAATTATCGACGAAACATTTGGTCCTTCGAGCCGGATTCACATTAATTAACCCCTTTTCAAAAATCATACGAAACGCAAAAAAAAAAACTACATTTTCATCACGTTCTCAAGTTCGCGCCAAATACGCTCTCTAAATTTACATCGCATAGTGTAGATCAAAGTCAAATAACTAACTTCCTTCGATTTTATCGAACGCTCTGTTAAAACAGCCTGAAATCAATTTTATCAATTTTTCAGAAATTATATCTGTTTCCGCAAATTAGCCATTTTGAACGCTCGTTATCAGTCGTCTGTTTCTGTAGAGGGAAGCAGAAAAGCGCAGGTCTCAGAGTAAATCACAAATTCATTGGCTCGATTCGATCACGTGCCATTCGTATCTTTTGATTTATTTTGAATATATTCAATATAGGTGAACATCTATTTTCGCACCTGTTGATTGCACCGAGGCCAAGGTCGTTAACTTATTTTTTGCCTAGGTACATCGAACTCCGAAAACATCAGCTGTTTTATTATTATTTCTTGTTTACATTCAGGATTTTGTTCTGGTTGACTGCAAGCAATGGATAAATTGAAAAAATTTAAGGCTCACCGCTCGACATCCCTCAGTGAAATTAGTGTAATTAGTGCTCTCGCCAATCAAGCAAAAACCGATAAATCTGTTAGAACTCTGTTCAGAGTGAGATATACGGACCTAGTGGGAGTTTATGAGGATTTTATTCGACACCATAACAATGTTGTCGCTACTATTCTGACTGACCCGCAGGCCGACGTAGAAGACGAAAATGTATTACGCGAGGGTTTTCTGAAGGAATACTACGCGATCAAAGCCGTGTACGCGGAATTATTCGACGATACGTTACAGGGTCATTCTATTTTGAATTCTACCGCGAATCCTACTGCTACAAGTCATAATCACATTCGCTTGCCAAAAATTGAATTACAAAAATTTGATGGTGATTACAAGTCATTTGTAACTTACATAGAATTGTTTAATGCATTGGTGCATACCAATAATTTACTTAGTGAGGTCGAAAAATTTAATTATCTGATTTCGTCATTGCAGGGCCAACCCCTAACTTTAGTACGCACTTTACCATTAACTGCTGATAATTACTTTATCGCATATCAAACATTAGTTGACCGCTACTCGAATAAACGACTTCGCGCGCAAGCTCATTGGTCGGAAATTCAAAACTCCCCGAAAGCATATTCCGAAAATGCTGAGTCGTTAAGAAAATTGCTCGATACTTTCTCGGAAAATCTAGCAGCCCTAAAAAACTTGGGGTTTCCCACTGATGAGTGGGACTTCATTTTAGTTATGATGATGCTTCAGCGGCTAGATAAATCTATTGTCACACGATTTGAACTAGAACATGGCTCTGGCGAAATACCTAGTTACAAAAAATTAATTGCGTTTTTGCACAATCATTGTATCGTGCTCGATACCATTGGCATTTCTCGGTTTGTTCAAGCTAACAATACTGCTCCTCATATAAAAAGTGTACAACCTAAACGTCAGCCGTCCGCGTATCGAACCACCTCACTTTTTGTAAACAAATCACCTGCTGTATCATGTGTATTCTGTAAGGAGAATCACTCGATATATACTTGTTCTGCTTTCGCTAAAAAATCGCCTAATGAACGATATACATTTTGCAGAAATTCGCGTCTTTGTTTCAACTGTCTTAGTACTTCTCACGACCTACCATCATGCCGCTCTCAAGCGCGTTGTAAACGATGCTCGTCAAAATATCATCATACGCTATTACACGCCGAAAAATCTGAATCCGCCAACGTTGCCACGTCCGCTACCGAAATTCCCGGAAGCTCCACTAGTGTTGCGCCTTCGCCAAATTCGCTAAATGATAATTCTAAATCTCATAATTCCTCGCTTTTTGCTGGTGCTGGCGTAATCGCAAAGAATCACGGTGTACTTCTCTCTACCGCGTGGGTGGATTTTATTGACAATCGTGGCAACTGTCAACCTCTACGATGTTTGTTAGATTCTGGTAGTATGACATCGTTCATTAGTCAGAAAGCGGTTCATAAACTTGGATTACCACATTCAGAAGGTTCAATTGAATTGAAAGGTCTTGGGACCATGCAATCTGCGTGTGATAAGGGGTTCGTTACCCTCAGTTTGAAACCAATAGGAAAAAATGATCCTTTGATGCATACCGATGCAATTATACTAAGTCAAATATGTGACGACATGCCTGTTTCTCCTGTTTCGTGTGAGGAATGGTCACATATTCTTAATTTACAACTTGCTGACCCTCATTTCAATAGGCCAGGAACTATTGATGTTCTATTAGGCGCTGACATTTTCTCTAAAATTATTGTGAATGGTCGTGTTTCTGGTTCCGCTGACGAACCTGTTGCTATCAACACAATATTTGGTTATGTTTTGATGGGTAAAATCAAACTGAATACCGCTCCTGCGATTTCTTCATTTTTTTGTGCCGCAACGGAAACCAACTTAGATACAATTATGACAAAGTTCTGGGAGGTTGAGAGTGTGCCTTTTTTCCCGGTATTCACCCCGGAAGATGAGGTGTGTGAAAACATGTTCCTCAATACTTTTCAGCGGGAAGAATCAGGTCGCTATATTGTTTCGCTGCCCTTCAAAGATGTTCGTCCCGTATTTCCAGGATTGCGTAGTTTTGCTTATCACCGATTTTTGTCATTGGAACGCCGCTTATTGAAAAATCATGTCCTTTACACGCAATATTCGGATTTCATGCGTGAATATCTCAATTTGAAACACATGGAACCAGTTGAAAATACAAACCCTCCGGATGAATCTTATTATCTCATTCATCACTGTGTCTTAAAACCAGATAGTTCCACTACAAAACTGCGTGTGGTCTTCAATGCCTCTGCTAAATTGCCCAGTCAAAAATCGTTGAATGACTATCTGATGATTGGTCCGAAGTTACAGCAAGATCTGGTAAAAATTTTAATTAACTTCCGTTTGCATCCCTTTGCCTTATGTACTGACATAAAGCAAATGTATCGCATGATCGGCGTTACCTCCGATCAATGCGATTATCAACGCATACTGTGGCGTTTCTCTCCTCATGATCAAATTCAAGACTTTCGCTTAACCACAGTAACGTACGGAGTCAACTGCGCCCCGTTTCTTGCACTCCGCACCCTCCGTCAACTGGCAGACGATGAAGGTGCTCAATTTCCAATGGCGGCTCATGCTATTCGTAATTTTTCATACATAGATGACTTTGTTATGTCTTTGCCAACCTATGAAGAAGCTCGAAATCTTGTGAGTGAATTAACCTCTCTCATGAAATTGGGCGGATTTGAATTGCGGAAATGGTGTTCTAATGAAAATTCTTTGCTTTCTCATTTACCTCCTTCACATTTGTCCAAAGACCCTTTAACTTTCAATTCTGATTTTTTGAGTTCGTCCTTGAAAGTGCTTGGCCTTCAATGGAATCCCATCCAGGATTGTTTTTTCTTTGCCATGTCCCCTTCCGATGACAGGACTTGTACCAAACGTACCCTTTTATCTGAGCTCGCCAGAGTTTACGACCCCCTGGGATTTTTATGTCCTGTAACTTTCTATACTAAATATTTGATTCAACGCATATGGTCATTAGGTATCGGATGGGACGAGTCCCCGAGTTCTGAAATAGTTCGGGCGTGGAATCAATATAAACTGGAGTTAA